AAACTGTTGGATTGAAATATTCCCAACCGATTTATAACCCTGGAGGCTAATGCTGCATTAAATGAGGTATAGGGAAGATCAAAAATAGTCTGATCAGCTGCCCGGTAGTCGAGTGGGTAGTGTCCTTGTTTTACCTGTGAGGTCCGGGTTCGATCCTTAATGAAACCGATGGATTCATACAGTTGATGAGACCCGAAGATAGCTGTTCAGTGTTCCCTGGATTTTCAGTCTACGTTTCGCTAGCTCTCTGTTCGATGACATTCGCTATAAAACAAATAGGAAAAACAATATTGTGCTACATCATTATGCAAAATAAAAGTGAGCTTGTTCATCACTTTGTATCCTTATTGTCTATTATGTGTGTTCGGCTCAAAATTATCGGTCATTTTGGACGTACCTTCTGTTTTTCGGCATATAGTTCTTGAGCTTCTGCGGACACTTGTAAAAACTTTCGTTCATATGTTTCCTTGTCATGTTGCAATCTGTTGATAGAACATATAAATAATCAATCGATTCATAGAAAAAATCCCCACTTCCCACCCAGGAGAACCCGAGCCAGGAAAAGGGGGAATGTATGGACAAACAATTACCGAGCAATTTGTTGATCCTTCGCTTGAAACTCATTCCGTTCGAGATGCAATTTTTCTTCGGCGACTTTTCTCTTTTCCTTCTCCTCCAACAACTGAAACCTGCGATTCAAGATAGGGGAGTAATTTGGAAATCAACATGTTCAGCGATGAAATTGAATAAGTATCTATGAGCATGTATAGCACGTTATAATATTCAAATTTATTTGATGAAAGCTTTGTATTCAATGGGTGAATGATTGATTATACAGCATGGATTAAATGAACTATAAAAAACCTGCTCAGCATAACGTTGTTAAAAGGGCAATGCATATGGAACGTCCGTTGTGCGTAACGAGTACAATTCAGTCAACTTTGAAGTTTATGAATCATTTAGGCGTCTTCTTCATACTACTAGAGTACGAACTATTTTGCTGAATAGGGGGGCTTTCTTGGTGATTCAATAGGTGGAGAATGACACCGATATTATGGAATGCATTGCACATTACTATTTGCTTATAACCTGCACAAATGTTTACCACGGAAAGTGGTGTTCGTCAGGGTTGTCCTTGCTCTCTTTTTCTATTTAACTTTGTTATACATTTGGTCATGGAGACAACCCTATCCTCGTGCGAGGATAGTGTCAGCGGTTTGCTCCCAGGTGGCAGACTGTTCAATCTGGAGTATGCAGACCACATTGTGCTGCTAAGTGAGGTAAGTTGCAAACTTTTCTGCATAGTTTGAGTGCTAGTGTAGGCATGTTCGGTATGCGTTTTGCACCTACCGCGGCAGTTGGACCAGTTCTGCTGTACGGCGCAGAAACTTGTTCATTAAGAAAAGAAGAGAATGAGAGAATGAAGATAGACTGTCGCTGTTTGTACACCGCTGTCTACGCCGCATTGCACGAACCTGGTGGGGCAGCCGGAAGAGCAATGCTCGGGTAAGGCGTAAAGATTTAGGAAATCGTGGTCGTCCACTGGAGCAAGTGGTCCACCTGCATAGATTAAGTTGGTTGGGACATGTGTTACATATGTTACCAGATAAGTTGCCGCGGCGAGCGATGTTCGCTGAAGATGGTAGTGGTTGGAAAAAGATCAAAGGTAGTCAAGCGAAGACATGGTATGATATGAGAGTATGAAAATCCTAACTAGGAGTCTGGGTCACATAGGTCCTGATAGGCTCTCTGGATGGGGACCTCAAGATGACCGTAACCGATGGTTAGAGACCATGAGTGAGTGTCGTAAACAGTGGCGTTCGTGCATCTAATCAATTTCTTTGCAACGTTAGTCCACCGAAATCCCCCATCTTCTATTCTACTCTACTTTCAACTTTCTTGTCCTTCTCCTACTGTTCATCCAAATGGACAGCCAAAAGACAGTAACCAAAACCAGCGCACGAAAGTGCATGATTTATGGTTGTCCACACAGAAACTGAAAATGATGTGTAATCTGAACGTACCCTCTCTGGCTCTCTGTAGTGATCTACGATATATGTGAATCCGTAAGGAATCATTATAAATTGATTAGTTGTGTCTTCTCCAATTACTGTTTACACCTGGGCTTCCCCCTAGTGGATCTGTCACTTTTATATCTTATTTTCAATCGCAAGGGTTGACAGTTGTATTACTTAAGGTTTATAAGTGGTATTGGGCTTATGGCCATTCCGGATAGCGCGCAATGAAAGTTCGTTAGATGTACTATGTTGATGACTCGTAAATGAACTAGTTTCACGGTGCCTCTAAAGCCTTCGAAAGGTTGGGTTATACGATGACTTTGTATGACGAATACACTTTCTATCTTTTAATTGTTCCACTACGTCCATGCTGTGGTCAAACAATAATTCCTGAGTTAGAGGGAAAATAAGGACATTGAACTGAACGCTTCCAAAAGTCATGCCAGTCATTAATATTGAACAGGATTTTATATTGAAGCATATTACGTTTATCGACGTCTTACTTGCCCCAGCATTCAAATCCCAGTCATACCCGTCGAAATGTTTCCTCGTATTGATGATTTAGCATTTGTAATCCGCTAGATACGGTGCCCTTTGCGAGCGGTTTGGTAAATGTTTGATTAATCTAATCTGTACCGAAATGTTACTGGTTTTGGATGCAAATTTTTCCATTGCGATAGATTAATCTATTCGGATTTTGAGTTAATCACTTTCTTCTCAGGATGAGAATAAAGTCCTATTTAACGAAGAATTTCTGTAACGAGCATTGGGAAGCTGTTGCGCATGAGCCACGAATAGAAAAGTAGAGAAACGAAACCCTCAGTATCGAGTTACATTACTGAATATAAAAACTTGCCTAAATGGGATGATGAAAAGAGATAATACGCTCACATTTTGATCGGATGTGAGTTCGCTCACATCGGCCTTTTAATAAAAATATAATTTCTTGGAAGTTCAGTGAGCTTTTTACAGCCTTCAAAAGCACTCTTTAAAAAATAAAATTTATCTAGATTAGGGGTATGAACTAATTCTCACGAAGAGAGACCCATATGTGGAAAAACAATATGCGGACCTCAATGCCTGTCTATTGGCATGGAATATAACCAGAACCATTTT